TATGCTAGAGAAGAAACAACACATAGCCAAGAGGCAATGATGATGATGAAAGAGAAAGTTCAAGATACTCTGAAGGAATTGGCCAAAAACTAGGCCCTAGGAATTGATAGAATACCAATTGACAGATTTCAAGGAACAGAAATGCTGCCCTGGACGTGCTCACCAGGTCGTGCCAGGAAATTTGGAGGAAAGCTCCCTGGCCACCTGACTGGAAGAGATCCATATTTATTTCTATTCCAAAAAGAGGTAATCCAACCGAGTATGGAAATTATTGAACAATATCAGATATCACATGCAAGCAAAATCTTGCTGAAGAATAGCCAGAAACAACTTGAACAATACATTGACAAAATAGAAATAGAAGCCTGGTTTAGAAGAGGCTGTGACACTAGGAACATCATAGCCAACGTCAGATAGAACTTGACTGAAAGTAGAGTGTACCAGAGGAATGTCTGTGTTTCACTGACTATGCAAAGGACTTTGCGTGGATCACAACAAATTGTGGCTAACCTTGAGAAGAATGGGAATCTCAGAACATATGATTGTTGTGCTCATGCAAAATCTATACTTGGACCAGGAAGCAGTTGTGGAAACACTAATGGTTCAAAATCAGGAAAGAAATGTGTCAGGGATGCATCTTGTTTCCATACCTGTTCAGTCTATATGTGAAACAGATCATTCGTGAGGCTGGACATAAAGAAGATACATATGGCATCAGAATTGGAGGAAGGCTTATCAGCAACCTGCATTGTACAGGTGACACAAACTTTGCCTGCTCATACTAAGGAGGACCTGAAATATTTGCTCCTGAAGTTCAGTCTCCAATATGGATTGAAGCTCAATATCAAGAAAACAAAGATTCTCACCACTGGGACAATTGGCAGCATCATGATATATGGAAAAGAGATTGAGATTGTTCACAATTTCAACTTGCTTGGTTCCACAATCAACACTCTTGGCAATAACAATGAAGAAGTCAAAAGAAAAATTGCATTGGGAAATCTGCTGTCAGGAACCTCTGTAGAATGCTGAAGAGCAAGGATGTCAGTCTGGAGTCTAGAGTGTGCCTGATTCAGGCTATGGTCTTTGTGTTTACTTGCTATGCATCAGAGAGCTGGGCCATGAATAAGGATGACAGAAGAAGAATCGATGCCTCTGAGTTGTGGTGCTGGGGAAGAGTATTGAGCATACCATGGACCGCCAAGAGAACAAACAGGCCCATCCTGGAAAGAGTGAAACCAAGTTGCTCCTTTTGGAGGCAAGGATTTTGAAGTTTCATCTCACATACTTTGAGAATGTTGCCTGGGGGACCTGGTCTTTGGAGAAGGACATCACACTTGGAAGGGTGGAGGGACAGACAGCACAGGAGAGGAAGATTCTGAAGGAGATGGATTGTCACAGTGACTAGGTTAATGAAAGCAGGTATGCATGAGACAGTGAGATTGGCTCAGGCTAGGGCAGGGTTCTGAGCTATTATGCATAGGGTCACTATGAGCTAACAGCACATAACAACAACAACAGTCAGAGAGTCTGAGAGGCAAATTATGTAATTTTAATGAGCTCCTGTTACTTTACTTAGAAAACGGATAAAATTATGCCTGCTGTGAAGATGAGGGAATAATACATCAAAGTTTAGCACATTGCTCTGCGCTAAATGGGAACCCAAAGAAATTGTAACTTCTGCTGTTTTTCAGAAAAGGGGCCCTGGTGACACAAGAGTTAGGAACATGACTACAAACTAAAAAATGATGGGTTGAAACTCATCAGATACTAGTGATTTGTCCTGTAAAGACCAGAGCCTAAGAACATCATTCAGGTCTATCTTATGACATCACTATTGGTCAGAATTGACTTGATAGCATTTTTGCATGTTGAAAATGAAGAGGACTTGAGGCACTTAACGGAAGAAGATTGTGCACTGTAGACTTCAGTATAGGTTCCAACTCAACATCAAGAAAACAATCCTCACAACTGTCCCATTAGGCAAAATAATGATAATAGAGAAAAGATTGAAGTGGTCAAAACTTTCATTTTATTTGCATCCACCATTGATAGCCATGGAGGCAGTAGTCAAGATATCAAACAACAAATTGGATTGGGCCAATCTGCTTCCAAGGACCCCTGGAGAGTGCTAAAGAGCAAAGAAGTCAGTTTAAAAACTAAGTTGCTCTTTCCTCAAGTCAGGCATAGCATTCGATTTGTGTGCATGTAAAAATTGGCCAGTGAATAAAGAAATCCAAAGAGCTGATCTCTCTGAATTATGATCTCGGGGAAGAGTACTGAACCGTGTATGCCCAGCAGAACAAAATCTGCCTTGGAAGGAGGGCAGCCAGCGTGCTCTTGAGAGCCAAGGATGACGAGACTTGTTCTCACATACTTTGGGCTTGCTATCAGGAGGGGCTGGCCCTCAGAAGGGAACATCATGCTTAGGATGGGGGAAGGTCAGAGAAGGGGGGGAAGGTCAGAGAAGGGGGGGAAGGTCAGAGAAGGGGAGGAAGATCATCCAGGAGATGGATTGACACAGTGACCTCAACAGTGGGCCTAAGCACATCGGAAATCAGGAGGACGGCACCGGCCAAGGCCCGGTTTCAGTCCAACTGAGTTGGCTGGCCCATTGGGGGATCATTGGTAGATTTCTTCCTTCCTGCTTAGCCAGCCTGTATTTAATTCCTACCCATTTCCTTTATGGTATTCACCACACTCTGCAGTTCTGTGCATCCCTCCTCTGCGTGTCAGCGGATGGTTTGTGCGTTACTGAGATACTCAACAGGTTTCAGTGGAATTTCCATAGTAGGCCAGACTAGGAAGAAAGACTTAGCAGTCTTCTTCCAGAAAACCTGCCAGTGAGAACCCTTTTGGATCACCAGGGTCTGTTGTTGTTGTAGTTAGTGCCATTGAGTCAAGTATGACCCTTAGTGACCCAGTGAACAACAGATCTGAACCTTGTCCTCTATCCAGTGCCGTCAAGGTCCTTGCAGCAATCATTGTACCAATACATCTGGTTGAGGGTCTTCCTCCCTTTCACCAACATGGGTCTGAGCTACCACTAATCGTGGGAATGGCACAGGGCTTGGCAACCTTTCATTTGGGACTAACTGCATGGGTGCTTAATGTTGTGACTTGGACAAGTAGAAGGAAAGGAGAATGAAGATGCTCCTCCATTTGTATATGTAAACCGAGTGCTCAGTCCAGAAAGAGGGAGTATCTCACCTTCTTTCTGTGGACCAAGAAGTGCAATCCACAATGGTTTCACTTCAGTCATTGTCTTTGGTTGAATAACTGTGGCTCTTAAAGTCTCAATCCTTGTCAGTCCTGAGGGTCTTACTGACACGGAAAGCTCTAGAAGTTCAGGAGGCCTTCTTGTTTTCTTGTCAGATAGGTACAGAGTGTTTAGCTCCTGTGACAGACAGCTGTTGTCATACTGTGGAGAGCACCGCGGTCAGGATTCAGCTTCTTGTCTTAGTGCAGTTATTAGTTATAGCTTTGGGCAAATGACTCGAGTGTCAGGCCTGCCTCCACCCCCGTTTTCATTATAAAATGAAGGATTCCATTAGAATTATCAGACTCCAGTATAAATGACTGAAGTGAACAGGGAGGAAGAAAAACATCGTAAATGAAGATAGAAGGTGCCTCGGCTGTAACTGTTGTTATTGGAGAGAATGGTAGGGACCGTGGCCAGCTGAAGAAAGTATTTCCTGGGGTACTAGGGAACTGCTGTTAAACTGGAAATCAGGGTTTTTTTATGTAAAATAGCTTCATTTAAAATGTAGATTACAGAGCATGATGCGCAGGACCAGTGGACAGTGATTTTAACAAGGGCTGCCTGGGGGCCACCAATTGCCACTTTGATTTCTGGCCTGTGGTCTCTAACTGTGCAATTCTGTAGTTTTTTTCCCGTCAACTGTGATGTTCTCTAATTGTCAAAAAGAACACATACAACTCATTCTTTAAAAAAGGGCTGTGTTTGCAAAAGCTATTATCATTTGTAATACTTTTATATTTTTAATTGCATTTCTGGATTGTTAAAATTGATGTGCTTGTAACATTTGATAACTGTATCAACTTTATGACATAAATATTAGTCTTCAACTCATTTTGTAGATGAGACAGTTTAAGCCTAGAGAGGTTAAACGATTTAACAAAGATCATTTCATTAGTGGCAGTCAGGAATTATAATCAGACCCTCTGGCTCCAAAGCTATTTTCTCCTAATACTCCCTTTTGTAATCAACATATGATTTTAGCTCTTCTACCTTCCTAACGTGCCCTTTCTTCCTTCTTTACCTTTCTGCTTTATTTTAATCCAAAGAAGTATTTGAATATCTTACCTTCTGGAGGACTCCCCTTACTTTGTCCTCCATGGTGATGGTTGTTGTTATTGTTATGTGCCAACAAGTCACCTGGTGACCCATAGTGACCCTACTCTGTACAGCAGCTCTGAAGCCTGCCCTGTCCTGAGCCAGTCTCACTGACTCCAACACACCTACCCTATTGCCCCAGTTACTGTATCAATCCATCTTATCCAGGGTCTTCCTCTCCTGCACTGTCCCTCCACTATTCCAAGCATGATGTCCTTCTCCAAGGACCAGTCCCCTCCTGGACACATGCCCAAAATATGTGAGACTGAGCTTCAGAATCCTAGCCCCCAAGGAGAGACTTCCCCATGGGGTTTCCTAGGCTGTAATCTGTACTGAGAGAGATTTGCAGCTGGTGCGTGCAGAGCGCTGTCAGCTGCCAAGTGCTTAGCCTCTTGGCCACCAGGGTTCCTGGTTCCTAGTACATGCTCAGTGAATTTGCTGAGGGTGTGTGTGTGTGTGTGTGTGTGTGTGTGTGATTGCTGTCAATGTTCCTCACTTTCAAATACCAATCAATGGAAAGGCTGGGAGGACAAGGGTATCTTACTGTATGCTTTACTACCACATTAGCTTTCTTTAGTTCCCTTCCTTGTCCAATTTTTTCCTCAGTCTTTCATGTCCTATTGCCTCTGCCATCATTTTCTAGGTACCCAAAGGTGGAAGTTTGCCCCCGACTACTGAAGTCATCAAGAACCCTGCAGTTCCTGCAGCCTTGGAGAAGAAGCCCCAGGTGGCCTACAAGACAGAGATCATCGGAGGGGTGGTGGTACACACACCCATCAACCAGGTGCTGGGGCCCGGCACTGTCATGGGGATAATGTCTTTGGCATTGCCAATGGTGTGCACAGAGGATTGTCCTGGAGAAATGGGTGGTTGGAAACGGACAGAGTGAGTCCAGATGGCATGGTTAGGAAAATTAAGGGCAGGGATAGGATCCCGCAGAAATTGAAGCTACATTCTGTTGTCAAAACCCACAGGAAATGGTGCCAGAGAAAGCAAATGAGTCTGGAAATAAGTCCCCTGTCCCTCCTTCTGTCTGTGCCTATCCATACCCCTGTGTGGTTTGTACTTTTCCTCTTTCCCTCTCTTCTGGGTCTGGCTACCTCTGTGAGCCTTGGTCTATGAAAGTGCATGATGTGGTGCATGACAAGTGCAAAGTAAATATTTGTTTTCTTGTTTAATTCTGCTTTGACTGACATGGGCAAAGAAGTGTGATTTGGCCAGAGGGAGCTGAGGCAGGGAAGCTATTCTAAATGACCACGTGGAGATGTGAGGGGGAGCTGCTGATCCTGACATGCTTTTCTTGCAGAATGGTGGGGATGGGCAGGAAGGGAATGAGCCGGGATCCCACGCCATCCTTCGAAGGTCTCAGAGTTACATCCCCACCTCAGGCTGCCGTGCTTCTGGGCCTCCCCTCATTAAAAGTGGCTACTGTGTGAAGCAAGGGAATGTGGTGAGTGTCCCTCCGGGGCTGGGTTGGGTATTCTGGTGATTCCTTGGAGCCAGTGGGTGTGGAGGGAGCAGACGGAGAAGAGATTCTTGAGAGGAGGAACAGTGGTTCTGCATGCTAGCAACAACTCAGAGTGTTGAGATGGGTGGAGCCAGGCATTCTCCCAACATGTCCTAAGTATTGTCTATAATATGGAAAAATCTTTGCCTTCACCAAATGGGCAAGCTTGGCCTCCATGGAGCTGAGTTCTTAGGAGACTTGAATTAGGACTGGTGGCCTAATGGCAAGAAGCTGCACTGCAAGCCCAGAGGGATGTGGTTCAAATCCACCAGCTGCTCCATAGGAGAAGGATGGGGAATCTCCTTCCATGTGATTAACAGTCTCTGAAAACCAGCTGGAGGGTCAGCCAGGGGTTAATTGCCACACAACGGTATTTGACAACAACAAAGAATACTACAGCCTGCTTTGTAATGTGGTACCTCTTTATTTTTTATGTTAGCGGAAGAGCTGGAAACGTCGCTTCTTTGCCCTTGACAACTTTACCATCTGTTATTTCAAGTGTGAACAGGTTTGTAGCAGCTTTGGGGCCTTTCTTAGAGGTCATGGAAACTAGGAGACACCTGAATACATATGCAAGTGAGTGTGTGTATGAATGGAGGCATGGTCACCCCCACAGACTTCAAAGGCACTTCCATTTTATTTCCATCCCTCCGGTGTGCACATCTTTACAGTGATATTTAAGTGGCCTTGATTTCCCCCCTCCTCTGCTTTGTGGTCAAAGCCACAAAAGATTGTCTTGGATTTTTTTTTCTCTCTTGATTACTTAGTTTGAGAGCTTAACTTGTTAGCCAGCCTGGTTTTAGCAACATCTCTGATAAAAGTGGGGCATCCTCCAGCTGATCTGGGTTGTGGCACTCTGCAGACAGACAGACTTACCTGTTTTGGTTTTTTTTTCCCTTTTTTTCTACCAGGATCGAGAGCCACTACGCACCATATTTCTAAAGGATGTTCTCAAGACCCACGAGTGTCTGGTCAAGTCTGGGTAATTTTCTCTCTACTTGTTCTTTTCTGGTCAGGACCCTTGTTTCTCCTCAGAAACTTTCATTTATCACCCTTGTGAGGCTCTCCACAGAAACCTTCTCTTCTTCTGAGAGATGGAGACTGATGGCCTGTGGGTGACTCACTGAGTCCCAGCTGACGCAGTTGTGAGATCACAGTGGCAGGAATGCCTTCTTACCTGTACCTCCCTCAGCCTCTGTAGATGAGCCTGTCTAATTATGTTCTGATGGAGAAAGAAGGGAGATATAGAAACAAATGAGGGAATTGTATGCCCTTGGTTTTCAGGAAGGAGGGCTGAGTCTAAGAGAGAGACTGTGCCCTTGAACCACTGACTTTTTAGTTTCCCTTCAGTTCATACCTATACTTCTTCCTTGAATTTCTTATGCCATTTCTTTTCTACTACTTTTGACAAAGTTCTTAATTCCTACTAACACAAGAATGTTTATAATATTCCTGTTACTCCTACTGGGCAGGAAAGATAGGTTTTTAATATGTTCCACTTTCCAGTAGGAAATAGTTACCTTCCAGATGCCATGGGTGTATGGGACACTTGGTCATATGGGATACAATACACGAGTGTATAGGACTGGGGCATAGAACCAGTTTGGGATAGGAGACCCATAAGATAAGATCTCTTTCATATCCAATACCAAATACAGAGCTAAACTTTAGTGATCCCAGAGGTATCTGGCCATCTAGGAATCCTCATTCTGATCCTCAGTTTGCAGCCTCGAGGGACTTTGTATTTGTATGCCTATCTCTCCATCCTGTGGACTGTGTCTGCAAGAAGAGCCAGTCATTAGGGAAACTATTGGCAGTAGGCAGACTGTTAGGTATCTAAGTTATCTAGGGCTGCTGTAACAGGTATCACAATAGAGTAACTTTTAAAAACACAGATTTATTCTTTAGATGCTAGAAGTGCAAATTCAGCATGACAAAGGCAGTGGAAAGCTCTCTGTTAGTTCTGGAGGAGAGTATTCCTTCAGCGTCTGTGGGCCTGGCTTTCTGGGAAATCTCCGTATGTCCTGGCCTTCTCCTGGTGCAAGGAGTTTCCTAGCACTGAGAGCTGAATAAAAAAAAAAATCCTCAGTTACTGGCTCCTCTGTATTAGAGATACTGAGGTCCCAACTCCCGTTTGCTTTTTCTTTAGTGCCCAGAGAATCTCCCTTCCATCCAACCAAGGCTTTGATGGGATTAAGGGTGTTGCATACTGCCTTTAATCCTTTTACAACTGCTTGGCTTATCAGATCATAAGGGATCATTACATAACTTTCCTATCACATCATATGTACCTGAGTTTTAGACGAACATAATTCAGTCCATGACAGTAGGTATTGGAGGGTCTTACATGAAAGCAGGCCTTTAATATGGATTGTATCTCAATATCAAGAAAACAAAAAATCCTCACCACCAGAGCAATAGGCAGTAACATGATAGATGGACAAAAGACTGAAGTTGTTAATGATTTCATCTTACTTGGATCCATAATCAGCACCCTTGGCACCAGCAGTCAGGAGATGCATTGGAAAAATCTACATTCAAGGACCTCTCCAGAGTGCTAAAGAATGATGATGACAGTGTAAGGAGCCTGATCCAAGCCATGGTCTTCTCATTTGCTTGCTATGCATCTGATAACTGAACAGAAGGATCGATGCCTTTAGTTGTCGTGCTGGAGAAAAGTATTGAACATACTATGGCCTGCCAAGACGATAAATAGGTCTGTCTTGGAGAGAGTGAAACCAGGTTGCTCCTTGGAGGCAAGAATTTTGAATCTCTGTCTCACATGCTTTGGGCATGTTGTCAAGAGGGGCCAGTCCTTGGAGGAAGACATCATGCTTGGAAGGAGTAAAGGTCAACACAGGAGATGACCTAGATGAGATGGATTCACAGAGTGAATGGGGCAGTGGGGTCAGTTGTGTTGGAGACAGTGAGATTGACTCAGAATAGAGCAAAGTTCAGAGCCATTGTTCATAGGGTGGCCTTGAGTCATCTTAAGTACTTATAACAACAGCAACAACACGTGAAAGCAAAGCGTGACTGAAGGAAACAGGAAGTACTATACTGAGCTGTATAGATGACAGGTACAGAGTAAAGAAGATTAGTGAAGTTATCAGTGATTATTTAGAATTGAAGTAGCTATAGATGACATTCCAGAAACTTGGTTCCAATGTAGATAGTCATGAGAGGAAATGTTGGTTCTAACTAAATCCTCAGTGATTTTGGGTTGCTTCTGAACCTAGAGAGCCTGTAGGGCCTGCCAGAACTTGAGTATTTTGTGATGATTTAGGAAACCAAAATAAGACTGAGTGTGAAAGTGCTTCTTCTTTTCTGTAATTCTCAAGCTCTGCAAGATTTACATTAAACTTGAGGAGTAAAAAAAGGAAGGTTGTTGAAAGAAGACCAGCAGGAAAGGAGGTCCCAGAATCTGCAGGTCCCAGGCCTTTTTTGACCTCTTGCTACCCCAGTCAGGGGATTTAGATGATCTTGGTAATCAGTAATATTAGTGAAGACTTGATGCAGACAGAGAAAATGATGTGAAAGGGGTGGAGATTTCCTGGTTTTCCTTTCATTTTCTTTGTAGTTGATTGTACGTATGGACATGAACAGTTTAAAAAGTTAAGCATTTTAGACAGAAAAGTCACCTCTATTCCCAAACTCAGAAGTAATCATAATAATTAGTAGAATGTGTTCCCAGTGACATACTTTGTATCAGATACCTTTAAAAGCTGATTTATTCCGTGCCTGGCCTGATGAGGTAGGCCTCTCTAGCTCCATATTACAATTGGAGTTACAAATGCTCAGAGTTTTACATACTCCACAAACTAGCTTTTCCTTAGGTAGAGTCAGAACCTAGCCCTGGTTTCTCTGATTCCCATCTTGCTGCTCTCTCCCATTGGACCGTTGGTTTCATGCTCCTTGTTTGCCTGGGTGCCTCTGTCTCTGGCCCAACCCCTGCCATTTCTCACCTAGTCCTCATTCATGGAGCCATTCCTACCTGTGACCAGTCTTTTCCTGGGATATTCAAACTGCAGGTGAATAACATATAATCTAACATCTGCGTGTATAGTCTTAGCATTGTTAAGCTCTTCTTTCATGGTAGGAAGTAGATCTTTTCATTCCTTATATACTTCCTTCATTGACTGGCTGCATATAGCAGGCGTTTGACACTGTAAATAATTTTGGTTGATGTGAGAATCAGCTGCTGCCTCCTTGCAGAAACCAGGATTCCCTTTCTAAAGTCCACACTCAGTTTGAAGTGCTCAGTGTGGTCTCCTGTCTCTGCCCCTTTCTCCTCTTTAGCTTCTTATCTCCTAAGCTCAGAACCAAGTGGTACCGAGTAGAAACTTAGTAAAATTGATGAGATCGTTTCTCAAGTGTAAGAAGATTTTAGAAATGGATGAGTTGGTGTTCTTAGTAGATGATAGTTAAAAGCATAGCCTTTGGGATCAGACTTGGGTCCAGATCCTGTCTCTGCTACAGATTAACTCTGGAAAGTCATTTGACCGGAGTCTGAGTTTTCTCATCATAAAATAGAGAAAGTCATATTTTGGATTATTGAGAATATTGAATGAAATAATATGCACATACACACACACACACACACACACACAAACCCCACTCAGAATAGTACTTCACACAAAGCACTTCCCTATACCTTAGCTATTAAAAAAAAGAAAGAAAGAAATTGAGAGATACTAGCAGGAGTTGGCATCTACTTCCTAAACAACATGCCTCTGGAAACTCTATAAACTTTGAGAAATGATAGTATCGAAAGGCTTCAGGTCTTTTGTTCATAGAGTCACTATGAGTCATGCTCAAATGACGGCAATCAACAACAACAACAGGTAGTACTTGTAGATACTGAGGAAAAGGTATATAATCTTTTTATAACTGGTCGTGAGGTTCATCAGGAAGGCAAAAATCTCCTTAGTCCTCTTAGGAAGTAAAGTTAGGAAAACACCTGAATGTTTTGGTTTTTGTTTGTTTGGGTTTCTTTTATTTGTTGGGGATAGGGGTGTGGTGGTCAGTGGCAAAAGGAGAAATGGCCCGAGAGCCCTCTCCACCTGCTTTTTTTATGATTGAGGGCACTAGTGTCTTAACTTAGGACAAATCACGTTGTCAATGTGTTTGCCAGTACATACTTGGTGACTTTCTTTCTCTTTCTCTGTCTAGTGATCTCTTAATGAGAGACAACCTGTTTGAAATAATAACAAACTCCAGGACGTTCTACGTACAGGTAAAAACACTCTCTCCAAGACTCTTAAGTTCCATTTCTATGAATAGAATGCTGTGAGGGTTTCGCCTTTCCTTTCTCTTTTATTTTTGTTTAAAGTTTCTAGGTGGTAAATTTAGCCCCCAGTAGTCAGTCTGGAGTTACTCTCAACAGGATGTTTGCCCAAAACTTCCCAACCATAAAATCATAAAAGGAGGTTGAGCCGCTGTGCTGAGGAATGTGTTTGTACCAGCTGCTCTCAGCTGCTGGGCTCCAACTAAGCATAGAAAAGGAGAACTGGTCAGTGATTTCACTTCTGCTTTGGAGGGTATTTATAAGCCCATTTATGTGTGTGGACATCACTGTGTGCGGAAGGACAAAAGCACAGAGGGCCCTGTGCAGGCACCAGGTGCAAAGCCCAGCTGCACAGAGAAAGCCATTGTTAGGACTCTGATGCTTCAGTTATCAGAAGCTTCTTCCCTCCACCCACAGCTTTGGAGTCCTCCCAGCTCCTTCTAAAATCTGAGGAGCTGGAAAGGCAGATTTCCAACTGAGGCCTAGATTTTCAGGCCAGAGTGTGAGCAATCCACAGAGCACACCCCAATTGAAGCCATTGTGGATGTCAGCCCTTGTGGCGAATTGGTTAACTCTCAGCTGCCAACCAAAAGGTTGGTTTGTACCCAGAAGCTCCCCTCTGCAGGGGAAAGATGTGGCTGTTGGTTTCTATAAGGATTACAGCCTAGGAAACTCTATGGGATAGTTCAACAGTGGGTTACTATGAGTCATAATGGGCTTGATAGTAACCAATTAGCATTAAAATGCATGTGTATTGGTTTAAATGTAAGGCTCCTCAAGCAAAGCTTTTCAGGGTTCTCCCACTCTCTTTCTTCTCTGTTCTAAGTATCTTTCCCCACTTAACTCCCTCCCTCCCACAGGGAGCTGGATGACTTGGATAGCGGCTCTGGTTGTCTGGACTACCCCAGTCTATCCTTTGCTTGAGCTCTGCAGACATTCTAAACAGCTTTAGTCATCTATGGGTTTTATTCATTCAGACAAAACATGCCATCCAGAAGAAACAGTGTGGGAGAGACTGGGAAGCAAGTTAGAGCTATGGAAAGAGTTGTTAGAGAATTGGCGTCGTGGTGGTTGTTACATGCCATCAAGTCGCCAGTGACTCATAGCGACCCTATGTACAACAGCTCTGAATCCTGCTCTATCTTGTGCCAACGTAATTGTCTCTGACTCATCTACCCCCATGACCCCAGTCACAAAGTCAATCCATCTCATCAAGGATCTTCCTCTCTTGTGCTGTCCCTCCACCCTCCCAAGCATGAAGTCCGTCTCCAAGGACTGGTCCCTCCTAGCAACATGCCCAAAGTATTTCAGATGGAGCTTCAGAATCCTTGCCTCCAAGAAGCACCCTGGTTTCACCATCTCCAGGACAAACCTGTTTGTTTCCCTAGCAGTCCATGGTATATTCAATACTCTTCTCTAGCACCACAGCTCAAAGGCATTAGTTCTCCTTCTGTCCTTCCTAGTCATTGTCCAACTCTCTGATACATAGCAAGTGATTGCAAAGACCATGGCCTGGATCAGACGCACCTTCGTCTCCAAATTGACATCGTTGCTCTTCAGTGCTCTGGAGATGTCCCTGACTGTACATTTATTTATTGTTAGAGTTGACATTTACAGGCACAGATTTAAATTGTAGGTGCAGCAAAAGAGTTTACAGTCTTGCCTTCAGCAGTTATTTGTAAGGACCCACAGAGTGCCAGGCATGGTGCCATGGGTTGAAGACACTGTGTTAAACATGAGCTTGAAGAGATGCAGTCAGGTAAACAGTCAATTAAAGCCGTGAGATGAGGGAAGAGGCTCCAGAAGGTGAAGCCCAGGGACAAAGCCCAGGAATTATTTTTATGGCAATGAAATTGTTCTGCATGGTGGAAACAGGACATTATGCATTTGTCAAAACTCATAGAAGTTTGTGGCACCAAGAGGAGAGTTTAATGTATACCAGTTTAAGAGGAAGGGGAGTCAGTGGGTGAGCTTAAACAATCAAATGAAACAATTTAAAAAAAAAAAGAACACCGTGATCATACTGCTATGGGGATGATTATAGGTTGCCCTGGAAATTTTCTGAAAGAAGACACATTCAAGCCTAGTCTACTGGAGAAGAGTGTCCCAGAAAAAAAGAACCTCCTGTACTTTTTAAGAAAATAAATTTGGACATAAAAAAATAAATAAATAAAAAAGCATAGAGCAAATGAGAGACTGGAAGGCTAAATATGGTGGATCCCTAGCCTTGTGGGCCTTGTTAGGTGCTTGTATCTTATCCTACCCATAAGGATCCTTAGTGCTTAAGCTAGGGGAGTGGCCTAACCAGATTTTCCCTTTAAAAATATCTCTTGAACAATGACTTGTTTTTTTTAATGTATGTATGTATGTATATATGTATGTATGTATGTATTTTTACTCTCAGAGTCTTTATTTCCTTGTTTATAAAATGAAAATCTGGGTCCTGGTCCTTCTAATGATATTGAAAGACCTTGCTTTTGTTGTATTGATTCCAACTCATGACATACTCATTTTAATCTTGAGTAGAACTACTCTATAGATCTTTCTTGGCTGTAAATTGTATATTTGTTATTTTGGCTGTAATTTTTATGGAAAGAGTTTACCAGGCTTTTCTTCTATGAAGCTCCTTGGTAGGTTTGAACTGCCAGCCTTCAAATTAGCAGACAGTGTTGCTTAATGTAGGATAAAGAAAAGATGAGGAAAGGCCCTCCGAGCAGTCCTTACTGTAGTTATAGGAGCTTGAGAGATCAGTTTGAAGATTGTTAGAATAATTCAGGTGAGGGATACAGAACGGCTGAGTTAGGGTGATGTGGGAAAGAAGAAAATTCAAGGGATATTTAAAAAGTAGACTTTCCAGAAATTGGGAGCTGGTTGGCTGTGGAGGTCAGAGGAGTGTGGAGAGACAAGGATAATCACCACATTTCAGGCATGAGCCTCAGCATGGCTGATGGCACCAGTCACTGTTACAGGAATGTGGGAGGAGGAACTGTTGAGAAGAATGTTAAGGTAAGTGTGGGTGGCTCTGAGTTTATAGGACTTGTGGCACATCCAAAGGGAGATGGGTATACAATGTCTGACACAATAGAAGTATTAAATAAATACTTGTCAAGTGAGTAACTATGTTGGTTAAGAGTTTAGCAGTAATTCGGGAAACAAGAAACCCAACCAAAAAATGTTCAAAAGACATTTTTTCACCTGCACATTTACCAGAAGCTTCTGGCCACTTCTGTTTCTTGTGTCATCTACTCCTCACATTTGGGACATAAAAGAACTACTCAAAGAGGCTAAAAAAGAGTAGAAGATAGATCAAAAAGCATTGGAGTGGAATATAAGAAATGTGTTTCAAAGACTACATAGATTTTGACTCTACAAATTACGGAACTGTGAGCCTGTTGCTTCCCTCTGCTAAGGTTCGTTCACAAAATCAAGGTGTTAGACTAAATCAATACTCATCAAGCTTTCTGATCTCAGTATTCCATTATATACTCAGATGTTGAGAACCTCAAAGAAATATTTAAAATAACATCTATTAATCCATTACAAAATGTTATGTGCCCTGAAGTCAGAACTGGTTCCTGGCTGACCCTCCAGCAGATTTTCGGAGGCTTTAAATCCAACTGAGGTAGCTTGTGTATCCCTCCTCTGTGGAGCAGCTGGTGGATCCAAGCTGCCTGCCTTGGAGGGCAGCACAACTCCTTACTCATTAGGTCAACAGAGGTCCCTCCATCTAAAAAGAGCATCTATAAACTATAATATATAAATACAATCTATATAGATATATAGTTTATACAACTTAACCTATAAAAAATGTGTGTTAATATGTTGTGGGAAAGCCTGTCAAATATCAAATCCTGAACAAGTTTGACTGACAGTTATTTGTTTCAAGTGAAAATCGTGTTTCATGGCAGAAGTGAGTGAGCGCAGTGGTCTCAAGGGACCAGCAGTTTGACTCAACATTCCTGAGGTAATATTCTGGATCTGCTTCCCAAGACTGTGCCTGGTAAAGCTGTCAGATCACTATACAGGCTTGTTTTCTAGCAATAGTAGACCAGTGGTTATATAGGGCAGATTTAGGGGACGGGGGAGGAAACCTTTTGGAGAGAGAACCAACACTTGGGCAACAGAATGGGACTACATTCTTACAACTTAGATATTGATGATTTACTTTCTATATAACGTGTATCTGATTTGGACTTTGTGACTTCTCACACTGTAGAAATCATTTCTGCTAGTGAAAAGCTACCATCAACCAGAAGAAGGGCCTGGTGGTTTAGGTGTGCAAGTCAGCCTTTATAACCCCTTGGTGCATCCTTTTACTCAGAAACGCATGCATTTGCCATGAATTGGAATCAACTTGATTGTAGCTTGTCCTGAGCACAGTTGTAAGCAGTTTACAGGCAACGTATTATTAACTTCTCAGCAGTCCACATGATCATCTTCAAAACCAAGTCTCTGAAGGTTACATTTTTTTGTCTAGGTTGGATGCCTGGTAAGTTATGGAATTGCCTAGGAGTTTCCAGGTGCTTGAGCAAGACCCTACTCACTTGTGTCATTTAAGAGCAGCCTGGTTCACAAAATACATAGGGGTGGGATGAAGAGAGATTGGTGAGTTCCTGCGTAAGGACTGAGTCTGTGTTTAGGGTGATAAAGTTTTTGAAATAGTGGAGAAGGTTGTATAGCTTGGTGAATGTGATTAATGTCACTGAGAGAGAGGAAATTTTGCCACACTTTAGAAAAAAAAGGAGGAGGGGGAAGAGTAGCCTGGTCTAGAACTGAAGATGTAGAGTGTGACAGCAGTGAGCCGGAGAATTTCAGCTTTGTATCAGGAAAGACTAGCCTGGGGCAACGGGGTACTTTAGCAGGTGGATTATGATGACAGAGATTCAGGATCTGGTAATAATCAGAAATCTAACAGATGGAAAGACAGGTGGTATCAGCAAGCTTGTCCA